GCTGGACTGGATGGACCCTAAATCCAATCTTGCAGGGGTCTCCCATGAAACCAGATGGTTGCAAACCAGCTTAAAATGAATCTGCACAACACCTTAATAATACTGGCTTGCAAATTTCAGAAACAGGGAAGAGGAGAAAGACTGATACTGCATTCAGGTTTCCCTAGTCACCTAGGTTCACAGGCTATCGGAGCTTTTGGATCATCATTGTGTGGTACCCCAGAGTCTATTTATTTAGGATTTAGAGCCCATCACTGATGTTTTCAACAACTGCACATGATCAGCTTACAGTTCTTTTCAACAGTGTGAAGTAGACTCTAGTGACTTTCGGCACAATTCAAGGGGCAGGTTTCAACATTTAATGCTACAAAACCCACCTATACATAACTGTGAGTAAGTCCCACTGAGGTTAGTGGGACTTACTCCCAAGTAAACTGGCAAAGGATCAGGCTAATCAATCTTAGATTGTCTGAGCCCAACATACATTTTCTTTCTATAATGGCCCCAGAATTCAACTGAACACAATCTCCAAACTGTGAAACTGTCTTCCCTTGAAGAAGATAAGCCACAGCCTAGCCTAAGCATCTTTTGAAAATATTGTGAAGGCTTTTTAGCTGATCTACTCTGACCATAAGCAGGCCTCGGCCTCTATACCCTGTTGTTGGCTGTCCAAAGGAACTGGTTGGCCAATGTATGACACAGGATGCTGGACTAGATGGACCATTGGTCCGATCCATGAAGGCATCAACTGAGATTCTAATATATTAAATGCTTTTCTACGTGTAACATTTGCAGAATACGTACAGTGAGTTCAGACCCTTATAAAACCAACATATAACATTAAGGAACAAATTTAACACCATTTCCATACACATCTGCCCTGGGTTCGATGCTTTTCAGAAGCAGGGTTATTATTTTTCTTGCTTCCCCACAGCAGCATGGAGTATTAGTGCATGTGCTGGGGTTTCCTCAGCTTTTCTCTGATGTTCTCAAACTTGGTTTGCTCTGATGTTCTTGGAAAGACTGCAGAAAAGCCATCCACATGACAACCATTTTCCGTAACCTTATCCCCACAGTGGCAATTCCACTCCCCCACCCACCCCAGGGACTTTTTAATTTTTTCTTTACCAAACAACACTAGAATATAGTTTTATCAACATACCAGTATGTATACCAGGTTCTCTGAATTTCCATCTCCCCAACAGGGCTAGAGATTTACTTTCATGAAAGCTGGAAATTCAGAGAACCCAGTATACACTTGGTATGTTGTTATAAAGATATTCTAGTGTTCATCTTTTAAAAAAAAGTTTGCAAAAGCCCTGGTGGCTGGGGGAGGGTGTCCACTACTAGGGAATCAGTAGGGAAACCTGCGCTGTGGAAGCTCCACTGCTGCTGCAGTTTATCAGCAGCTGCACCAGTAACAGGAAAACCACACATGCCAGTTTGGTGTAGTGGTTAAGTGCGCAGACTCTAATCTGGGAGAACCGGGTTGGATTCCCCACTCCTCCACTTGCACCTGCTGTATGATCTTGGGCAAGCCATTAGTTCTGGCACAGCCGTAGCGGTTTCTGTCAGAGCTCTCTCAGCCCCACCTACCTCACAGGGTGTCTGTTGTGGGGACGGGAAGGGGAGGGGAAGGGAAAGGCGTTTGTAAGCCGCTCTGAGACTCCTCTGGGTAGTGAAGGGCGGGGAATAAATCCAATCTCTTCTCTTCTTCTTCATCCCCATGTGGAAACCACTTAAGACTTCTAGTATTTTGACACTTCCATCTTTAAAAAAAAAACTTTTCAGACACTTTACTTAATATCTGCTTTCAAAGCTGTCAGGTTTTCTTCGCCACAACATGCTCCAGAAAAAATCTCAGGAATCTTTTTCCCCCCATGGCAGACGGTTATCTGAGGCTGCAATCAGATGGGCTTTTTGTGCCGGTGTTTCCGTTGCTCCCTAATGGATTTAAAATGCTTGATCAGACAGCAACATCTGTATCCCACCCTGAACTTGTTGGCCTCCTGCAATCACCACACTCTGGTTGTAGTTTTCTCGCCGGGAAAATCAGGTACCTTACGATTGTTTCCAGCTTCACTCCGCATTTCCACCTGTCTGCACTGCCTCCTAGCAATTTGAAGCTGTTTAGGATATCTGAACATTTTCCTTAAGTTATTGCCATTTTTTTTAAAAGTTGCCGATGTGCACATGACTGGATCACTGCTCTGTGTTTCAGCTCTCTCCTGCTTACAGCTTTGTGGCACATGGAGTAGGGAAGGGGTTAATTGACAAGAGGAGTCTGTTTCAGAGAGGGAGGGAGAGGGAGGGAGTCTGAGAACAAAGCCAATGACTCCAGCTTTGCTCTAACCTTTTAAATAAAAGGAGGAGGAGGAGGAGGAGGAGGAGGAGGAGGAG